TTTTGTCCTTTCTTCTAAACGGGAAGTTAATGGCAAAACAGTGACAGAGGAGGTTCTTCCTCACACCGCTCTTAGCGTGAGTAAAGCTTGCCAGCCATGCAGGTGCCTTCATCTTTCTACTTCAAGCTCAGAATCAATGTTAAGTTTCTGAACCCTCTTCCCAACAACCTTCTTCTTTCCGTACAGAGCAAGGCAGCCTGAAGGCGTGGGTGGGTTAGAGATGACAGTGAGTAAAAAGTAAATTGGCAAGTGGTCTGTCCAGAGGCAGACCTCCCAGCTAGCACACTGCTGGGCTCACTGGGCTCCTGCAGGATTTGGATAAGATGTCGTGTGCTTTTGCAGAAAGCCTTGGGGTTACATGTGCGCAGACCAAACTCTCAGTTACCATCGAAGGTGGCACAGTCCAGGTTCCCGTCAAACTGCATAACTGCAAAGGGATAAGGGAGTACAGAGATTCCACAAGGAGATCTGTTATACAAATAGGAGTCTTTCATCTTCAGAGTCCTTGCTGTGGGATTTCACTGCAGGAGCTCCTCCTTGTTTGAGGACAACAGATGCTCACCTATGATGCCTTTATAATTGGTCGGCACAACGTCTTCGTTTCTAAATTTTGCTCCTTGCAGCTTCAGCCGTGTGTTCACTACCCAGAGAGGAGTGGTCAGGAGTACATTCACAACACCTAATGCAAACACAAGATGAGGAAAATCAGTGTGAACCAGAAAATCCCAAAGGCATCCCTCTTGCTTACCAGCACAGAGCCCCCACAGTGCCAAATGAAAGACAACAAGAGAACTCATCCTTGTGGACAAGTGAAGCACACTCGAGTGTGCAAAATACAGGATTCTAAAGGCGGTGTAAAAAGGGATTGCACACAAAGCCAAACACAACAGAGCAGCAGGGAAGCTGAGAAGCAGAAATAAGTATGGGGGTGGAGAAATAGACACAGCTGCATAAGGTTGCAACAGAGAGGTAGTTTAGAACTGCACCTTGCAATACCAAGGAGGATTAAGTAACATTACTTCTGCAATCACCTGGTACAGCTCTTCCCAGCTCAGCCATGAACTAACCATGTAGAAATGAGCTCTTACAAACGTTTCTGCATCACAAAAACCAGCAATTGCTTGTGTGCTGGCCCCTTTCCTTCTCCTCCCCAAACAGTTCAGCCCACAGCCTCTCCTCAAAGGGGAGGTGCTCTCCTCCCTTCATCACCATCTTGATTCTCCCCTGGACTCTCACAGCTATCTCCATGTAACTTGTACCAGCGGGTCCAGAACTGTGCCCAGCACTTCCAGTCATGGTTCACCAACACTGAAGAAAGGCAATTACATTTTCTCAGTGCTAACAAGCCATTGCCTAATGCAGCCAAGGATAACATTAACTCTTCTTAGCAGCAGGAGCACATTGATGGCTCACATTCAATTTCTAGTCCACCACAAAGGGCCCATCATCACAAAGCTGCTTTTTCCCCCAGACAAATGCCAGCTTCAACTGGAGCATGGAGTTGTTCCTTCCCTGGTGCAAGACTTTGCATCACCCCTTGTTACACTGCACAAGCTTCTTGTCTGCCCATTTCTGCCTCATCATCCTGACCATTAATTACGATTATATGAATCAGGACGTCACTCAGCGCAGACCCCGGGGCTCCCTGCTCGTTCCTGGCCTCCACCTCGGCTTTGTGCCACTGATCACAATATCTAGCAGCAGAAAAGTCACATTAGTCCCTTTTAATCAAAGTCACTGTAGTTACACCGTGGAGTTAACAGGTTAGAGCCTAACACGTTACAGGACAATCTATTTGCAATTTTTCAGATGACTCTGTTAAAGAAGACACAACATGTTATCGTCCAAATAGAAAAGACAAGGGCACAGATTTTTTTATTGTTTCTTTGGGTTTTGGTGTTGTATTTACTGTTTGTTTTTGGTGTTTGTCCAGTCTGTATTTGCTACCAGTAAGAGGAGTGACAGACTGGTGAGGAGAATTTGCAAACACCTGAAGTGGAATTCTTCAGTTGACACCAGAAATTATTCCACAGAGATACTCATTACTGATGTTGAACACAACCTAGTCATTTAAATGACAAGCTGTTACCGTGATTCCTGCAGCCTTTCATCTAGAATGCCATTAGATCAGAACTTACCCCACTGATACAGCCAACTCTACGAGTTTCCTTACCTTCCCCCCAACTACTCTCCCATCACCAACACTGGAGATAAAACAAGAAACTAGCCAAAATACATGAAAAAGCCCCCCCCGGACCCTCTAAATTACAGTCTTTTCAGTGTGGTCACATGAGCCACTGATCCTGTAGAATAGTAGCAGTAGACGCAGACATACAGCAGTAGTTTTACCACATTGGATTTGCATAAAGGTGTTGGCGTTGTCACTCCTTCAAAGAAGCTGCTGAGTATCCACATGAGAGGAAGAGATGAAAAGAATACATGGTTCTCACTCTCCTTACATACACATAGGGACTTCCTTTTCCTTTTTGTATGACCCAGAAAGAACCTAAAAACTGGCATGCAAATCCTTACCTTCAACAACTCTAACAACCCTAACTGAAAATATCTTGGAATTGTCATTTGCCTTGCCTTTGAAAAAAAAACTATTCTCTCTCCCTGCTGCTTCTCTTCAATATCTTAAATGACAATGCCCTGATATCAAATGCACATACTAAACCACACGTCACACACAGACAGAATACAAGACCACAACAGCACAACATGATCAAATTATATGTGCTTATCATGGGGAGAGGGTGGCATGGAAGAGCCATCAGGGCTGGAAAAGATGCTTTGTTGGTATACAGAGATAGGCAAGGAATGAGATCTCTGGTGGACTTCATAAAGGAAAATGTTAAATAATGAACAATCTCAGTTTCACCAGAGGTATATTTTCAGTACATTCCCTTACCTGCAACAACCCCAAGAACCAGGTCTTTGCCAGTGGTTGAATGCTGACCTTTGACCCAAAGAGTTTTGAGACTATTAAAGGTATAAAAGTAAACAAAATTGGAGCAGCAAAGGCTGGAGATGACAGGGAACCACCCTCGATATGGTGCCAACCTAGTGGAAAGAAAAAAAGTTAAGGTAAGAAGCCATGGTAAGGATCAGCAAAATATTCATCTGAGCAGGTTGATTTGACATGTTAAAGGCCCCAGGGATACAACACCATATACTACAAACAATAATAACCAGGCATGTCTTTATTATTGGTCAGAAACCGGACTGAACTCTTGAGTTCAAGGTGGAAGGAAGTTCCAGTAAATGCCTTGCAGTAAAGTTTAGAGCAAATCAGTCAGGTATGTGAGAAAAAGACATTATCTGCTTAAACTTAACTATACTGATCACAGATGAAAAGCTGAGTCGACATTACATTACATCCAAAGGAGCAAAGTGTTCTCAAAAAAGTGTACTATGACAAGACAAGACAAATAAAAGCTATGGTCAACAAAGTGCTTACGACCTCACATCACTCTGTTAGGTTTCCTTTAGTTGGTTAGTTTGGTTTAAGGCTCTTCCTGTGTGAATCCAGACTTCCTTAAAACCAATACAGTCTGTGCACTGCTCAGACAGGTTCTCTGGAGGAAGCACTGCTCCCCTCATGCCACAATCACTGATGTTTCCTTCACAAGAAATACAGGGTGGATGCCTGCTTTTGCAGTTTTTCCATTACAACTGATGGTTTGTTGGTGTTTTTTTATGTTTTTTTTTAACTGGAGCTGACTTGTCACCCTCATGAGACAAATGAGTGAGTGTAGAAATGTGAACAAAGCAAAGCGCTAACCTCTGAGAGGTTCTGATGCACACAGCTGCTCACGTTCAAAGCCACCAAAGAGTTATTGGCCAAGCTAAACCGGTGTTCTGGAAACTCTTGCCCACCTCTGAGTTCCAGGGATTTGCTTAGGAAATCAGTTGTGACAAGGACACGTGCACAGCTGCCTTCAAGCCACTCAGCACAGACTGCAGGCAAATACTGAAGTACAGCTCTGCTGAAAGTTACGTCCTCTTCCACAGGCCTTGAATCTCACTGCACAAAGAATCACTTGTTTCCTTCCACTTTGCTTACCAGAAGAAATTTCCAGCTGGTAAACATGTCTCAATTCTCTTGCACAAAGAGGCTCAGTTGTCCAAGAGTTTCATCTGTGCTAGGAGAAATGGACACACCCAAGAATTTGGGCAGACAAAGCTGGTTTATCAGGTACATGCAGGTTTGTGTGCAACCATACCTTCATTTCTGAAGGAGCACAGCCCCCTCACTCATGGAGGCACAGTTACAGGGCTAAACAGCTTGATTGCATAACATACCCAAGAAAGTTAAACCAATTAACTCAAGGTGAAAAAATGCAGCTTCTGCCATTCATCTCACTTAGACACGGGGACATTTCCTTTCAAAGCAGAAATCTGTGTTCACATAGATTCAGGCTAACTCCTTCACTTTAAAAGCAAATTCAAACCATGTTTTAGAATTTGCCTACATAAGGGTGAGGAGAAAATTAGGATCTACTCACAGGCCTTCTTCTTTGATGATTTCCAATAAAACTGCTGGTGTCGTTTTGGACTTTCGCTTCTCATCAACTGGGAAACAGAAGAATCATATTTTTAGGTTGTGCCAATGGTCAGGACTCACTTTCAGTTCTTTATCCTTCCCATTCTGAACACATCCACAAGCAGCTTATTTTTTTCTTTTTCCTTGTACAGGACGCACAGCCTGTTTCTGCAGAAATTCCAGAAAGCATCTCCTGACTCTCACCTGCTGGGTAAGGCTACTTGGCACTTCCAGCCAGCAGCTTCTTTTGGGCATCAGTGTGTCTGCAGTTACCAACTGCACTGCCTTTTTCTGGGTGGAAAACTGCTCAAGAGCAGCACGGTGTGAACTTCTCCACCACACATTTCTGACCACCTGGCTCATGCTTCAACAGTACTTGAATCACAGAGCTAAGGTCTTTGCTAATTCTGTGACTTTTCTGATTAGGAGAGAGCATTACAACAGAACAGATGGAAACTGTATAAATACCAGAAGTTTCTGCTCGCAGTTCCACCTTGACTTTTCCCTTTATACCCTTCCCAGAAATAATTCCAGGCTCATTTTTCACAACATGCCCCTGCGGTGCCAAGTGTTCTCAGCAGCCAAAAACACCAGCACCACACACATATAATCCTGTGTCATGTCACATCTCTTTCTTTTCAGGGTAAAACACCCATTTAGAAGTCAAATCTGGCCACAGATCACACAGTCTTTCCAGCTAATTAAAAGGTTGACCAATACTTTCTCAAGGGATAATTACCTTCAGCTGGAACATGGTGTTAACAATCAAAAGGCATTGCACAAGTGAGATTTTTCTTCATGCAAGATAGTTCCCCTGCAACAACCCTTACAAACTCCCATGACAAGAAAACACAAATGCCACCGTACAAAGAAAACTGAGTTTGGCACTTACCCTGAAGTCTAAGCCTAGCTGTATCCAAAGGAAAAAATACAGTCATTGCAGTCATACTGCCCTGAAAGTAAATAAATAGATAAATAAATTGGCCACATAATGTATCAATTGCTTGTACAGATACCTGACAAATTCTCTGGTAGCCTTTTGTTTCTCACCCAGAAACTGGTGTAGTAAGTTTGAAGAAGGGACAAATTCCATTTGTAAGCATGGAAGCAAAACCCATTCCATCCATAAGAATATTATGGATGGAATGGGTTTTGCTTCCATGCTTACAAACGACTTTTTTAACTTACAGATAATTATATCAAGCTAAAGCTAAAACCATTCAAAGCATTTTGTCCAAAGAGAAAACTACCCAAGTATGTGAGCAGACAAAATGTGTGTTAGGTGAGAAACATACCGCTAACTTTCCCTAACTCTTACTAGCCAAAATCTCCTATTTCTGGCAAAGAAATAGGCCCCCCTCACTGCAAAAAGACATTGAGGCCCTGGAGCAACAAAGCTGGAGAGGTGTCTGTAGCACAAGTCTTATGAGGAGCGGCTGAAGGAGCTGGGATTGTTCAGTGTGGAGAAGAGGAGGCTCAGCGCAGACCTTATTGCTCTCTGTAAGTACCTAAGGGAGGTTGTAGCAAGCTGGGGGTCGGCCTCTTCCCTTGTGTAACTGGTGACAGAACTGGAGGGAATGGCTTCAAGCTGCGCCAGGAAAGATGTTAGGATGTTAGGAAATACTACTTCTCTGAAAGAGTGGTCAGGCACTGGAATGGGCTGCCCAGGGAGGTGGTGGAGTCACAGACCCTGGAGGTGTCCAAGGAACATTTAGACGCTGTGTTGAGGGACATGGTTTAATGAGAACTATTGGTGATAGGTGGATGGTTGGACTGGCTGATCCTGTGGATCTTTTCCAACTTTGATGATACTGTGATTCTAGGAGGACAGAATGACAAGCAATTGCTGTTCTACAAGACCATTTTTCTTAAAGAAATAAAAATGAAGAATGTAAAAACACAAATAACAAACTCTCACTCATCAAATATATATATGTATTTTTTCTTTTCAGGACTTCATCTAGCACTGTACTAAATCCCAGCTTACATAATTAAGCCCTACCTATTAAGTACATCTGCATTAATATTGCACAGTTTTTGAGAAAATATCTAACTCAAAAAGCATGTGGCTTGGTATAAACTTGTATTTAATATTTCCATAGACTGCTAACACTAAACAGCTGCTAAAGCCACCAGACTCTTGCATTAGTAGCCATACTGCTACTAACAAGCGGTGGGAAGGTTGCAGGGCATGGTCCAGCAGCTCCAGGAGCTGGACCCTGCTCCTACCAACCCTCATTCCCAGCACCCAGCTGCTCAGCTTAACCAGCAGGGGCACTTGGTGCATGTTCAATTTACCCAAAGCAAGATTTAGCCTGAATTTCACTCTCAGGGCAATCCTCCCCACAGCAACATTAACATTCACACTAAAGTAAGAAACAGAACTGGGGGAACATTTGTGAAAGGTTTGAGGAGAAGCCAACAAGACAAATAGGTGGGCACAAGGTAAAGGCTTCTTAAAACCATACAAACCATCTCTTGAGCTACGGCTCAAGAGAAAGCCATGAGCTAGCTCAGCTGATTAACAGATTACAGCCAATGAAAGATAATTTGTACCCTTTCCCCCTCCTATAGATAAACTGAGGAGAAGAAGCTGAAAGAAGCAGCGTTACTTTTTTGCTGGGCTTGTAAATGAAACAACTCAATGGTGCAGTCTGAAGAGTGACAGAAGTAACATATAGTGGCAACCCGAAAGAAGGGCGAGGCAGAGATGAGTGGAACCACCCCTCAGCAACAAAAGCGCTCTCAGGATCTGACTGGTGATACCAGCAGGAGAAAGTAACTGTCACTGCTTTGTGCAGGTACACGCAATGCAGCCTACAGCCCCGTGCAGCTAAAATGGGGACATTTCACTCTGCTTTCCCACCAGCTTTCAGGCAGTGCTGAAGCTCAGCACTACCAATTCAAGTCAAGCTATCACTGAACGATCTCCAGAACAGGTACAAACTGGCTTAAGCAATTCCAGCTGGTAAGCAATGCTCCCCTATCACCTCCATTCTGTGGGTGTAACTATTGGGGCAGCTACATGGCGATGCAGAAGGCGAGGAAGCTTATCTGACCAAAGCAGAACTTTTCCTACTAGGCCACTCTTTCAGCTCCCTGGTCAGCACCGCCTCAGCGCTGCCAGCAGCTGGCAGGAACCAGGGGGTGGTTGTAAGCAGTCAGAACAAGCAGCCTGAAGTGACTTCACTGCCAAGGAGAGGTCTGCGTGACCAAAGTCTACAGTCTGCTGTAGACTTTTCAGATGTCAAAAAAAAAAGCGTGTTGACAGTCAATATTCAGAGCAGCTTAATTACTGCCGTAATACTTCTATAAAGCTGTTATTCCCATAGCTTTTGGAACGAGGTTACTTTACCTTGCAGAGATTAAAAAAAAAACACTTCTATAATCCAGTTAAAGTCTGCTTTTTTTTTTTTTTTGCTGCTCACTGCACTGTTGATTTAATTAGTCTCAGGACTTGACCCGGTAGTCCAGAGCTTAAATGGACTTTCATCTGGAACTGGAAGAAAAACAAAAGTGTTGATGTTGTGATCAGACGTGTTGCTGAGATTCATCAGCACAGTTCACAGGTTGCATTTTTATAGAATCATAGGATCCTTCTAGTTGGAAGGGACTTCTAAAGGTCACCCAATCCTGCTGCAAAGAACAGGGACACCTACAGCTCAATCAGGGTGCACAGAACCCCTTCAGCCTGACCTCAGATGTCTCTATGGATGGGACATTCACTGCCTCTCTGGGCACCAAGGCTTCTTCCTTATAACCAACCTAGAAAAGCTCCTCTTTAAGTTTGAAACCATTTCCCCTTGTCCTATCACTACAGACCCTGCTACAGAGTCTTCTTTCCTTCTTTCCTGTATCTCCCCTTTGGATACTGAAAGGCCACTATCACGTTATCTCATAGCCTTCTTTTCTCCAGGCTGAACAGCCCCATTCCTCATCAGCCTTATAATAATTTAAACTAAAGTTGAGACAGTGCTCAAACTATGCACCTGCATAAGAGATCTTGACAAAATTCATGTATTACTGCAGCATACAGATCTATAGGTGGATTAATACACATTTATGATAACAAAATACAAACAAAAGCCAAGGTTTTCAGCCTAACATGGTTTGGACAAAGGGGAAATAAAGTAAGCCAGCTTGTTTTTGGAAAAAGGTCTTACTCTGGGGCCTGAAATTGCATATGAACATTAGCATGTGCGGAACCACAAGAGTACAGGAGTGTAATGGGTCCAAGAAGTTCTGTCTTCATCCACAAGATCACTGCAGCTCAGGCGTAAGCATTGAGAAGCACAAGAGGGCATTTCCTTCAGCCTACGACCAGCCGGGTGCTGAGGTGCCATTCTACAAGGCTTTAAGTTTATACGCTGATTTATAGTTCTGGTTCACCAGCAGAAGCTGTGATGAGGGGCACAGCCTATTTATCCCAGTCTGTTCACACAGGTGTGAGGCTGGCAGGGAGGGCCAGGAAGTATTGCTGTGTTCTATGCAAACCAAGGGAAAGCATGCAGCGTTCCAACGGTGAGCTGAGCTCGTGTAAGGGGCTTCCCATTCTCAGAATGGGAAACAAACCCCCATTGCCTCGGATTCCTGAAGCTGCACACGCAGAACACCTTGAAGACCAGAGAACGTTTCTGTGTTTATGTGTGCTACAGAAACCTTAAAAGTTATATTTTGCTTTCCGTGGCAGGCCAATATATAATCAGCTTTTATTGTTCATAACGCCTGGCGCCTTTCATCCAACCACAACTCACTTGAACGCCTCCTGCCCTGCCGAGCAGCCCAGCAATGGCTCCGGCACACCCCCGGCTGCCCTCAGTAACCCAAAGGCAGCGCTGCAGCAGTTCGCTCCAAACGCACCGCATCGGCTCGCACGACCCGCCGCACGGCTGCCCCGCCCTGCCCGCTCACCACGGCGCCGGAGACGGCGTGCACCAGGCTCTCGTAAGAGACGACGGAGGACATGGCCGCAGCTCCGGTGGGCTTCGGCTGCGACGCGGCGGTGGCGCGGACGTGCAGCTTATCGACCGCCGCTCCCACGCGCGCCATTGCGCCCGCCCTCCCGCGCACCTCCGCGCCGTCACGTAGCACCGCCCCCGCCCAGCCCTCCCGGGAGCCCCGCGCATGCGTGGGGCGGCGCCTCAGCTGAAGGCTGACGGGGAGCGGCTGAGGGAAGCGGGGTTGGTCGGTCTGGAGAGCGAGAGCTCAGGGGAGACTTCATCGCTCTCTGCAACGACCTGAAAGGAGGCTGTGGCGAGGTGGGGGTCGGCCTCCTCTCCTTGTTAACTGCGATAGGACGAAAGCCTTCAGTTTAGTCAGTGTTAAGCTGAAGCAGAGCTGATGGTTTGTCTGGGCTCCAGGAAATCCAGAAGGATCATCCCTTCCTCTCCCCAAAGACGGTGCACATCACTTTATCCAAGGAACTTGTTTCCTTCAAAACCCATCTTGAACTTGTTCTTAGGGAATTCAAATGTCATCAGTGCATGGAGCACCATTCTGACTCCAGCTCACAGCAGTGACACCACATCTCCCCACCTGTAGTGATGCAATACAAGAAATTGTCACCTTCAGCCTTGGTAGAATACAAGCAGACTTGCATACCACGTTCTTTCTGTTCCCATGTGAGCATATGTGGAACACCCAGCACAAACTTTGCGATATTCCAACAGTGCCACCACCATTTCCAACACTTAAATTGCAAATGAATATTAGCATGTGCAGAACCCACAAAGGTACACAAGTGCAGTGGGTGCAAGAAGTTCTGTCTTCCTTCACAAGATCACCACAGCTCAGGTGTAAGACCGTGAAACACAAGAGGGAAGCCAACATTCAACTCCATACACAGCTCCCTGGTTGTAATCTGCTGATTCACACTGATGAGCCAATTGCTATGCTCTTCATTTCTTGGTGTGACAGCTATGCGTGGCTGCCCAAAACTTGACTTGTCTTTCACATCACTGTCGCCACTGCAGAGATGTACACTTCGCTGTGCTCGCATCCACTGGTTGGTCTCCACAGCTGTTCAGTTTCAGCGGGTGCCATTTTTCCTGCATGGAGGAATTCAGTGGCACACCTATGTGCACTTTCATGGCAGACACCATTTTGTCAGACTTCCTCTCCTCTGCAAGAAGCTCGCACAAGAAGTTAAAGGACCTCAGGACAATTAAGTAACATCCATTGACAACATTTCTCTTGCCTACCCACATTCTGTTTCTAATTCTAAGAATTTCTAAGTATGTAGAATGATGACACTTAATGACTCCAGAGTCAAATTTACTCCCTCTGCACTGTCTTACCTTAGCAAATGAACACTGAACTCAAACTTCTTTTACCCTGCTACACTCTTTGTGTATATCCTTTTGTATATTCTTGTGTAAATACTAATTTACAGGAAAAAAAAGAGCACCGTACACCTTTTTCTGCTCAGAAATTCACTTGAGATTGGAAATGTGAAGAGAATTACTATTTTCAGAAGCATTTTCTGAATCTGTAGCAAAACTTACTTAGGAGCATACTTTCAGGGCAACACAGATTAAAGCAACTACAGATTAGCAGTTTGAATTCATCGAGCACCAGTGTTTGATCGTACAAACTCGGCGAGTTCACACTTAAGATCAGTTGGAACACCAACCTATTCCAGAATAAAGCACTGCAATCAAAAACATATTAAAAGCCCATTTCTTAAGTGCATACATGCTTGTGTTTTACCTATTAAGCAACTGAACAGACTTTGAGCCTCTGGAATACCATTGAGTTTTCCCTACACACCTTTTTTAGGCCCAGTGACAGCAAAGAAGTTGAAAAGTTTTTACCCAGCTTTACATTACTTGCATTTGCAAGTATTATCTCCTCTCATGCCACTTCAACAGCCTTAGTAGTTGATCAAATAATCCTTAGCCAGTTTTGGTTTTCCATAGACTAAATTGTCAAACACAAGCTTTGTTACGTTGCTGTTTGTTTTCTTTCCCAGGCACTTGTAAATATCTAGCATCTGAAGAAAAAGTTGTGGTTTTTTTTTTTTTTTTTTTTTTTTAGTGAACAGTTGCATTTCATTTTTCCTTACAAACCACTAGCTTTTCTTTTTCAGATGGGAATTAGATGTCAGTGGCTGATCTTCAGCACATGCTCTCTAACAAGAGGCAGTGCAATTAGCAGTAGCCAGTTTATTCTCAATGTAATGCCTTGATATTTTTTGCATCTAATTCTGGTAACTTTCTAATAATTTTGTTCCTTCATCCTATTTTAAAAAGTAATTTTATTAAACACTGCAGTGGTTTTAAGGTAACTGGTCTGATCTTCTGCTACTATACTTTATGACTACAGAATGCAAACTAATTTCTAAAGACTCTCATCCTCCTAAGTAAGAATATTCGGTTTAGGAAACTGAAGGCTTTAATAATGGAATTCCCTTTCCTACTTACTGATTTAGACTTCACTTCCTTGTTGTTTATTTCACAGCTCATGTACAGTACCTTCTCCTTCTGAATGCTTTTGTTCTGTACAAGCTATACTTACCATCTCTGCTTCTATCGCTGTCCTTCAGGAAGAAGTTCCATGGTAAACTGCTATCCCAAGTCCTGTAATCTTTCACATTTATACACAGCTAGCAGAATCTGACTTCTTGTAGCCACCAAAGTGCTAATGCATTAAAAAAAGCTGGTTTATTTTTTTAATAAGCTAATGTACTTAAGTGCATAATCACAAACAGTGCCAATTTTTGCCACCCATTTAACAGAGAGCCATAACACATTCTGCAAATACATTTATTTATTGACAGGCAGATCTCAAGCTTGTCTGAAACCATCCATCTAGAATTATACATTTCCAAAGCATATTTGTACATCAGTCAGGTACAGTAATAACACAATTAGCAAAATTGTAAGTTAACATCTTGACTTGGCTAGTTATCAAGACTCAGATTTACAGGACAATCCTTGTTATTTACATTCAGTAGGACCTCCAGTCAGAGGGGATGTAGGAAGCTTTGTCTCACAAAGCTCCTGTTTGTGAGGACTACACCAGGAGAATGAGATTTACCTAAGCTCTGATTTGAAAGGGGAACAACTATTCGTACCCCAGAGACACCTGAAAATTTTTGTTGCTTTGTAGCACAAATCAGCCAGTCACCATGTGACCAGACCTATTTCTTTATCACACTAAAACTGTTCCTGCTTCCCCCATACTTGCACTTCATGTATCACTCTACTGAAACTCTCATGACTTGCCCTGTAATACTCAACACAGTTGTCTGTGGAAGTTTTATTTTTACTCCATCTCTTTGCTAATTCAGAATCACATTTCTACAGTATGCAGAAACATTGTACAAAGTAAGGTCGAGGCTCACCTCTGCAAAGCTCTGAAAGAGGTTCATGAGACGTCTTTCTCCAAGCATCAGAACAACAACATCCTGCTACCACATTCCTACCTTGTTACTCTCCTGCTTGAGGACATCAATCCACTTCCGCACTGGCACCAGACACTTTCAGACTGGGCTGCAGTTGATAAAACAGCTCTCCAGCCTTACCACTAATCCAACAAATCAACCTGTTCTGCAATCACAAAATCACTGCACTCATCCTAGATGTCCCGTGGGATTTCCAGAAGGGCCCAAACACTTCTCATCAGGAGCATGCTCCAACCCATAGGAAGGTACACAAAGCTGACCTGGCTGCAGCTCATCCTGGCTAAGGCCCTTACCTCCTGTCCCTCTGGATGAAGGCAGATCAGACAGCAGTTTCTACAAGCTCCCATAGCGACACTGCTTACTCCCATACGTCTTGTGAGGCAACAAGAAAATCGCAGTGATGTTTCAAGACGGGTTATCTGGAACTCCAGCTTGTTGCAAATAGCAAACGTGCTGTTTCACCATGTGGCTTTACCTTTTACTTTCGCATGGCTTTTTAATACTCATTTATCGACACATTCAGCCCGGTTTTGTCCAAATCTGAGACAGTCTGGCTCCCACCCATCTAATTACTACCTTCCAAATTAAGAAAAACCAAGCTAATTTGGCAAGTGTTCTTTATTCACAGTCCAAAAGTGAAATGAGAGCAATTTTTTAAAAATATTCTGTTCTCAAAGTCAAGTTGTCAACTGAGCTGATTACTGCCGCTGTACTGATAAGCACAATCCCTTCTTTGTGCTGCAATGGAGCAATTAACCTCAAGACTGCCAGTAAATGCTGGAGCAAGTGCTGAACAGAAAAGTTACTTGCTCTTAGCTACCTGTACCCCAGAACAGGAACTATCCTCATCTTTGCTCTTCTCCACTGCAGTTATGTTTTTGCACTTGCACTTCTGTTCAAAGCAGATAAGCTGCTTAGGTGTCAATGCAGCAATCCTGGGAAACTGAGATGAGGTCCAGAGATCTCTTCAACTACCTTATCAGATAGCACTGAAAAGAAAACAAAGACCACATAAACGAGTCATGGGATGTGCATTCCCAAACAGACAAAAGAATTCAGCTACGCTGTTAAAGCTAAAACCAAAAGAATTGGGAGAACATTTTGTTAGCATCAATTAGCTCTGAATAAGGGTAACTGATCTGTAAGCAAGCAGACAGGACACACAAATGACCATTTCTACTGGGGTAGCTTCTGACTTTCGACTAGCCATGGGTAGACAGATACAAACAGCCAAGAGGATGTAAGAGGAAATCGTAGGGAATTAATCTGTATTAAAGACTAAGTCACACAGAGCATATAGGCAACAGCATGAATGAAGTAGAAGTAGAGCTTCAGCCTATGCTGAGGGGTGGCCTACTTCAAGCCTCTCCTCTTGGGAACAGGAGATCAGAGAATGATCAAAAGCTGGGCACAAAGCAACACCCCATCATAGCTTGAATTTGCT